CTTAACTGGGTTCTATGCCGATTTGCGCTCCCCAGATCAACCCCGCTGACGGGTGATTGCTGTGGCAAAAAGATTGATAGAAATAGCTGAGAGACGTGCGAAACAAAGGACCCGCATGGTGTGGTGGTGAACGCGTTACTCCCCGGAAAGGATAATAGCGCGTTCGTTCCCCACCATAGACACCTGCGGTCCAGAGTTTTGCAAATATCTCAGCAACGTTGTGGTTGTATTTCGCTTAGTAACCTGCCATGAAAATTATAGAAGGCAGAAAACAAAACGTTAAACATTGTGATTTCAACTACAGCCATATCTTAACTGGGTTCTATGCCGATTTGCGCTCCCCAGATCAACCCCGCTGACGGGTGATTGCTGTGGCAAAAAGATTGATAGAAATAGCTGAGAGACGTGCGAAACAAAGGACCCGCATGGTGTGGTGGTGAACGCGTTACTCCCCGGAAAGGATAATAGCGCGTTCGTTCCCCACCATAGACACCNTCTTTTTGCCACAGCAATCACCCGTCAGCGGGGTTGATCTGGGGAGCGCAAATCGGCATAGAACCCAGTTAAGATATGGCTGTAGTTGAAATCACAATGTTTAACGTTTTGTTTTCTGCCTTCTATAATTTTCATGGCAGGTTACTAAGCGAAATACAACCACAACGTTGCTGAGATATTTGCAAAACTCTGGACCGCAGGTGTCTATGGTGGGGAACGAACGCGCTATTATCCTTTCCGGGGAGTAACGCGTTCACCACCACACCATGCGGGTCCTTTGTTTCGCACGTCTCTCAGCTATTTCTATCGATCTTTTTTTTTTAGTTTTAGTTTGGAGGATAATAGCGCGTTCGTTTGCCACCATAGACACCTACGGTCCAGAGTTTTGCAAATATCTCAGCAACGTTGTGGTTGTATTTCGCTTAGTAACCTGCCATGAAAATTATAGAAGGCAGAAAACAAAACGTTAAACATTGTTAGTAGTTTAAAAGTTTCAATCACAAACAGTCGACGGCCTTTGTGTACTGGAGAGAGCTTTAGTGCTTTTCAACAATTCTTCCAGGCGTGCAGAAATTCTTGTGATTGTCGAGTGCGGTGTAACTTCAGGAAACAATCTTCTGTTCTTCTCTTCCGGATGCCTTTGTTAATTGCCCCGGAATATTATCCGTGCGTAGTAGCTCCTCGTCCAACTAAATTACATTTTCAGTGTTTTGAACTTTTTAAAGTTTTTTTTGAAAGTTTCCATGTATGGCACGGCTTAGTGGCCAATCTTTGCTCGATTTTCCTGAAGAAAGATCAAGCTGCATGCTTCATTTTTCTACGTAGTGCCGAACTTCGGCAAACAGTTCGATAAACTGAGAATGGTGTTCAAGGCAATCGTACTCAGAACGGGGTATTCTACACTTAAAGGGCAGCTTGTTCGATCAATAATGTATCCGAAACCAGTCGATTTTCGATTCACGAAGGATCTCTTCAAGGTTGGTGGATGAAAGAAAGTTTTCACAGTTCCCTTTGACTTTTCTTTCTGATTCGTAGTTTTCTTTATTTACATCAAACACAAGTGATATATTAGAAAATCTTGCGTTTTAGTTTGTTGCATTCCTCTTCTTTATTGCTTTGTTTGGTTTCATCTACACAATCATAATAATGATAGAAAGGAACCAATCTATTAGAGATATCATCATACGATCCCTGGACATTATCACGATCGTGGTTCCGCCAGCTTTACCAGGTTTGACTACTTTTCGTTATATGTTTTCCAACAACGGGAATCATTCATCACTAGAGCCACACAGCATTTCGACATTTCTACTCGCGTACTCGGGTTTAAGTACACCAGTATCACAAATTAATTGTTTTCTAATGAATATCTAGTGGTGTACAGCTCACTGCAATCTACACAGTTGGTGACTGAGTGATGACGGCGCACGAAAACCAAGGTTCCAGGACCCAAGGAGAAAAACTAGTCTTATGAACAGAAAGCTGCCTTAGTGTGCAACACAATGGGCGCTGTAACGAACGATGTTAAGCGGTGAGGCAACCGGTGATATGGAATGAAATTTCGGTTTCCAATGGGTCTAGTTGATGCTTAACCAAATTTTGAAAAGCCGTGATCACTGTTTTCTTTATGAACAGACACGACATTGTTACGACATTTATTTATTCGCAATAGCTTACGTTTCGACGGATTTCGCCTTCTTCGGAGCATGGAAAGTTCAATTTAACATGAAATCTATTCAGCCAAACACTGTCATAACTTCAGCAGATGAAGCTCAATGTGTGAATTTCGTTCACATGTTAAAGAGTTTCTTTTAAACATTCACCGTTTTTCGTTTAAGTCTTGCAGACAATGTTGCAAAAGAAGGAATTCCTGAAACTGGCACGGAAAATAGTTATTTCCAATGACTACGATGCCACAGACCCTCGAGATAGGTTAAGAGTAAAAACTACGCTCCGAAAAGTCTCCGAATAGTTTTTGCAAGTATAGAGTACTGTTTATCCTGCCCTTCATTTCTAGCGGAATAAGTACAGCTATAAAACGTTGCTTAAAAAGGGATTCGGTAACAGTGATCACACTCCAGGATGTAAGCTAGATCGAAACTGTTTGTATAACCGTTTTTGCACATGACGAAATTGTATAATATATCCTAACGATACTGATAGTGATGGAATGAGTCCGAGTACGGTGTTACTCTTGTAAAGCGTGCTAGGTCGAATATGTTGACGAAACGGCTGGACGACTCCGCATATGTATAAAAAAGAACTTAGTTGGGAATCTTAAAGTCAAGCAGAACACGAGGTACGTAAAAGGCACGAACATATTAGCAAAGATTTCCAATCTAAAGTCACTATATCTTTACACAAGAATCAACAGCAGCGGCTCACGAAACTCTTAAAACGTTTTGGGTAAATCCTAAGAATCGAAAATTAAACAGCCAGGAGTCCTTTGTGATCACGCGCGACCTCGCGCCATAGCTCAAACCGATTTTTTCTGACCTTAACCATGAACATCCCTGACCCACGTAAGACTTTGCGCGCCTGATCTCCATCCAGTGTTATGAAAAATTTTTTGGTTTTTTTCGGAGCATGGAAATATCAAGTTGATAAACGATCTGCTAAGCCAAATACTTTCATAACCCAAATATAAAAGCTCAGTAGGCAAATTCGCATTTGTATATCAAACAATTTCTTTTAAACACTCATGTTTTAAAATCACAACGATGTTGAGATAAATGCGAAATTCCGGACCGCAGCTGTCTGCAGTGGGGAATGAACCTATTTATCGATCAGTGCTGTCAACAATCACTCAACAACGAGATTGATCTGAGGAGCCCACATCACAGAACTAACAGAGACAGGCGAAACAAAGGACCTGCATGGTTGGTGAACGCGTTACTCACTGGATAGGACATTAGCGCGTTCGTTCCCCATCGCAGACACCTGCGGTCCGGAGCTTTGCATATATCTCAACATCGTTGTGGTTGTAAAAGATGAGTGTTTAAAAGAAAATGTTTGACATACAAATGCGAATTTGCGTACTGAGCTTTTATATTTGGGTTATGAAAGTATTTGGCTTAGCAGATCGTTTATCAAGTTGATATTTCCATGCTCCGAAAAACAAGCCGCCAAAACGCCATCTATTTTGAATAAATGGTATAATAAGGGTCTAGTGTCTGCTAATACAGAGAGCAGTGAATTATTGATCACTGCTGAGGTTGACGAGTGTGGCATAGTGGTCGGAGGCGCTCTAGAAGACACATGGGATCCATCCCCACATCCAAGGTCCATCAAGCTTTCTATCCCTCCGTAGTCGGCAAATCAATACCAGACTTGTCTGGGAGAATAGCAACACTGACTTTATACAACGGTAGGCGACTGCGACTCATTGTAAAGGCAATTGCATTCAGTCTTCTCCAACGATACTTAGTGAAGTCGAATGTATGGCGCTTTTTTTAGGGATTGATCAACACAGAGCTTTATCCTTGTTTTATTTGCTGAGCTTAATGGAAAATCAGTCTTGGGATTGGGATTTGCTTCTTGAAGTTATTAACCATTTGACTAGCGTAGGTGTACTTCTAGTGCTCTATAACGCAGAGTAAATGAGAGCTGGTACTCAAAAATATTTCATGCCACGTATGAAACCGTGAAGCATTGTCTTATATGTGCAGTCGGTGATTTTAGTATGAAGTCTATCTTTTCATATATTCAGTATAAAATATGACTTTCCAATCTCCACTTTTTTTGAGATGAAGGGATACGTCTATACGGACAAGAAGAATGCTAGACTAGATTTTAGATGGAATGTAAGCATGATTAAAAGAAACCGTTACAGTATAGCATAAGTAATGTGTTGATCGCTTACACAGCGCTGTATGGTTTAACTATGATAGCGCGACAATGTGGAACTATAAGCTTTTATTAAAAAGCTAACTAACAGGATATTTGAGAAGAAGTAAAAAACGTCAAAAATCAAATGAAAAGAGAGCAAAGTTTAGTTTTAGCAATGTAACTTCAACTATTATAGCTGCTATGTCTGTCGGTATCATAAACTCTAATCTAAGACTTCGGAAAGAGGAGATATTCTGTATTTCACCATCTACAATCAACACGTGTGGTGCGATTAATGTGGTTAGTTGCTAGTGATATTACATCCTTAAGAAAATTCCCCATTGAAAAAATATAGATGTTTTCAAAATGGAATACTAGGTCGAATCTTTGTATTTTAGAGATTGCTTTGGAGATCCGGTGCTAAATTTAGTTTTCTTCTTTCCACTTTTCGCTCTGTATGCAACGAAAAGCAGTTTTTTTCTATACATTGCTAAGTATATCGTGGAAATAAAAAGTAAAAATTGATTTTGCATGCATGTGCATGTGGAATGAGGTGGCCTACAGTATACACGTGGTCGTTGGTTCAATCCCGATTCCCGATCTCAGCAACGGAATATAGGTTTTTGAGTCAGTTTTCGGCACTAGTGGAAAACTCGGCCTACGAACTGTACGAATTTGCTAAGTGGGACTCTTTGATTTTCCTATAGAACACGTTCTCGAACTTGCTCAACTAAACAGTCTATAACAATAGTTATGCAATATTAACGGTATTCCAATACCGAAATAATACAAGCGGCGATGTGGTAACAGGGCTGGTAAGGTAGAATAAGACAATATTGTAGGAGGATGCTTGAGGGAACTGAATGGTGACTAATGGTCTTGGGAATAGTATACGCTCTGTGATAGACAGAGTTTTGGTAGAGGAACTAAAGTTAGTCCTCCAAATGACATTCTAGAAAGTTCTTTTTTTAGTGCAGTCTGATAAAGCTGGTTCAAACCATGTCACGATAGCAACGAGAACTTGCATCAAACATACGGTATAGCCGAGGCTTCCTTTATATAAAAGTCCATCAGTGGTAGGGATCGCGGGTTACTGCAAAGACCTGAAATGGATTCAGTCACATTTAGCGATGCTTAGCGTATGCCTCAGAGACTGATCAATGCCGGTTATTTTATCCTTTCTATTCATTATTGTGCTGAACACCCTCCCCAAAAACCAATATTTATTGTCTCATCACGGCAGGGTTGCTCCTTTGTGCTAATCTGCAGTGTAGAGCAGGGGGTCATTTATCGGGCGAGGTTTTCGAAACCTCGAACGGATTTGACATTTCCGTCACAACGAATACTAGTTGAAAAGTGATGACCATCTCGGAAAACCCTAATGCGGTTTTCGAGACTGTAGGGAAGTGGAGGATTGCTCAGCTGGTAAACTACCTCTCAGACAGAAACTGTGCTGGCGCCCTCACGATTCTTCGTGATTCATAAATATGGACTATTTAAGTGTTCAAGTATATCTACGTAAAAACAATTTGTCTATTGCGTAATCACAGGTCGGTCGGCTGACTAAATCGTAGCGGTCGTTGCCATCCTGGAAGAAATCTATTCGCTAGGCAGTAGCCCTCTCTCCCGTCGATGATAGTGGACAAATGCCATTAGTGAGACCTAACGATACTTTAATACTGCTAGATGCTAAACTTCTGCTCAATATGTTAACGACAAAAAAGTCGACAGCTCGTTAAGCTTTAAGCGAATCCCAGCCAACTCCACGTATGACGTCTTCAGGGCAACGAATCGAATGGAAAAGTGATATAGCCAGCATGACACTCTATGACGGGCAGCCTAAATGAATAATTATACAAAGTATCGGTGGTGTTGTCTGACCATTCATAAATCCCATTCATGTGAAAGGTCTTGGGCTAGTTTTTAACACCATTCAAAAAGAGAAATGTGCTCTGTGAGACGCATGCAGACCCAAATGATACTCTCTGTGGTTTTCCTGCACCAAGACAGCTTATACTACGTGTTTACATGTAGCCGTATTAATGGAAGTGAGCATGAGTGTGCAGCATGCATACTTGTGCACTTTATCTTACACATCGGTCATGCGAATAGCTTTCGATGTGACTAGTAAGCACACTCTAAATAGCTCCTTATCCGTGGGAAAATCCTACAAGCGACAGGGAGCGGGTGGGGCCACCAGTGATTGCTAAAACCGTAATAATTGAAAGTGAGTGGAATCCAATGTGCAGCCATGAGCATAGGCACAATTGAATATTTAGTAACACATGTTGCCATGACTAGTGGGATTGCAAGTGTTACAAGGTACAGTATCATTTATACAGATATTTATAGTGTTGTTTCGACAAAACTGGTACTTTAACTGAAGATGGTCTTGATTTTCATGCACTTCGTGCCGTAAGGCCCCCAAGTGAAGAAGCACTACCTACATTCACTGAAGTGTGTTTCCTTGTTACATTAATTTCAGTATTTCTAAGTTTCTTTAAACTTTATTTTTCAGGAAAAATCAGAAATGAATCCTGCAGATTTCCCTTCAGACGGTGAATTGATTACTGCCATTGCTACTTGCCATTCTCTCACTAAGTATACTACCTTTTACATAACCTAGTTATAAATTCATTAGCTTTTGAACGGCATAGCACTTAGTTTTCGTGAGCATTTGTTACTGCAGCTTTGTCTAGACATTTAGAATTCATGGTGAATTACATGGCGATCCCCTTGATTTGATTCTCTTTAACAAGACCGGATGGGCGATGGTGGAAACGGTTGATGATAGGGAGGAGAGCGAAATGCAACTCTACGATAACGTCCAGGTACTTTATCTTAGTGGAGTAATTTTTCACAAATTTTACGTCATTATTGGACTCTGTTGTCTATTTTGTTTTTGTTTTTCTTTTCTTTTCTTTCACCTTTCTCCTTCACGGTAGTTCTTTTTTATGACGAGAAAGATGGCACTTACAATTATAATATTGTTTCCTTCTGAGCTTAAGCTTGTAGCTTCCGTACTCGTCAAAAGAACTTGAAGAGTAGTGTCGTTTTTCGCAATTGGTCCTGATTAATGATATGTAAATATTATTGTGCTTCAATTTTATCTTCTTGTTCTTAGAAAAGGAAATTCTTTCATCAGACATGTAAGTTGCGCTTAGGAGTTCAATAGCGAATGAATAAATAAATTTCTTTCCTTTAGCCTACCATAGTTAAACCGCCACAGGAACTTCTACGAAACACTATATTCAATAAGGAGTACAGTGTCATCCGGCAGTTTACATTCAGGTTTGATGTCTCTGTAATGCTTTGTTTTATTTTTTGATGTTAATCTAACTTTAGCAAGTAGTTTTTTTTACCTGTATGGTAAATTTCACGATTTTAAGCTCTTCACTTCAACGAATGTCGGTGATTGTCTCAAATCCTCGTGACGATTCATCTCACGTCATGACATTGTTCTGCAAAGGCTCGCCGGAAATGATTCTATCACTCTGTGATCCATCGACCGTTCCACAAAACTATTCGGTACTGCCAACTACTGTTTATTAGCCATGAACATTGCCGCGTTCACTAGAAACAATTTTTTTATGCCCCTTTGGTTAACAAGAATTGGTTTCATTTTTTGCTTCTATCATTTATAGGGCCATTTATTACTTCATTTTTGGGTGGAAATTTGACTGTATGGTTCTATGATGCATTGAGTGGGAAACTGTTGTAATAATTGTCATACTTCTCCATGAAGTTCTTTAACAAAAAATATTCTGTCCTTTGAGTGCCTTGAGAGAGCACATGTCAATCTGCTCTTCTCGGACATCCATCTCTCAAGCCCAGATGGAATTCCGCATTTCCATTCGGAGGCTCAGCTATGAATAGTCGATTGATAGGAATCACTGCCGTCCTGGAAACATTAGTCATTAGCTGGCAAGTGGCGACGACCTACTAGAGCGTTAACAAGAGTTTCAAGTGGCCAGAAAAAGAAGTCTTTTCGAACAAGCAAACTGTCGTTTAAATGGAAATTATTCTGGGGTTAACATATTTTTTTATGGTCTTCACAAGCTGTTCTGATCGCGATTTATGCGTTATACACCTGATCTTTTTTTATTCGTGAAATGACTCCAGCATTTGCTGCCGACATCCACGTCCTCCCTTAATAAGAGTTCTACCTTGGTTTCTTTTGTACGGTGATATGAGTGTGAGGTCATAGACGGGAAAGATGACAACGAATTTCGTATTTTGGTGATTATTGCGGTAGTATAAACATCAATAAACCGAAACTTATTGATAACTTCGCAAGGAGTTGCTATAAATTCTTATTATGGTTAACATTTCGGCTCAGTCACATTCTTCAGAGCGGCAATTATTCGAGTTGATGGACCCCATCTCTTATTTTTTCTGTTGTGGAGTTTTCGTAGTCGTAGAGAATTGAATCCAGTGGAGTGAAGCAGCAAGTGGCAAATGAATTTGACCACTAATTGTCAATAGCTAGTCCACCATTGTGATGAAAAGTTGCTGCAATAAAAACTCTTTTTTAATAACTTTTTATAAGTTTGGTAATAAATCAAATACAAAGGCGCTAACTTTGGATTGCCCAGAATGAGAGTCTACAAAACAAGTTTTAAAATGTTCATAGTCTGTGGCCATTTATTCTTTGAGCTATATTTTCCTGCACCTACCTAAAGCTCACATGCAGATCAATTAGTTAAAGAGCTGAGTGGAATTTTTAAACTATCGAAATAGTTAGAACGCGTGTAGCGCACTGGTTAGAGGCGCTCTACAATACAGATGGATTCGGCCCCAGCGCCCCAGACTCATCAAGCCTTCCATCTCTCCAGATCGCCAAATTGGTAGCAGACTTGTCTGGATGCATAGCAGTATTGACTCTATACACCGCTAGGCCACCGCAAAGCATTGTATAGGCCAGAGATGCATGCATTCGCCCCTGACGGTCTTTAGTAAAGGCGAATGAATGTCGCATCACTAAGGATTGATCGTTGCCAAAAGCTTTATCTTTTTTTATCCTTTATCGAAATTGTTTGACTTTTCAGTAGAGCTCAACATATACCCGAAATTTCAGACACAAGTGGATCTATACGCACAACATGGCTATCGTTTGATTGCTGTGGCACGAAAAGCGCTCGAACTGAACTATGCAAAAGCTTCGAAAGTTCCTCGCAATATGGTTTGATTGTATATTCTTCCATAGTTTGCGGAACGTAGTCTCGTTTTTTATTCTAATGTTTAGGTTGAAAACGATTTGACGCTTCTGGGTCTTGTAGCATTAGAAAACAGAGTAAAATCTGTTACTAAGGGAGTGATTAATCAACTGAATCGGTAAGTCATCGTTTATCCTCAATGGTGTCAACGTATTGATTGATTTGTGGTGCTTATTAATAGGTGTTACTCAGCACTCGTAATTCCATTTTGATTTTGTATAAAACTTTTCTACTGTGTTCTTTGCCTTGGCGAATTCTTTCTTCGATAAGTGAATGTTAATGGAAAAAATATTCCGCCATTTTATTGATTTCCCTTCATTATTGCATCATTTGAGAATTAGTGTCGGTTTAATAATAAAAGCAGCAGATAGCACAGTGGTAGTGATGTACGTAGTCACGAGCATGGTGCTAGTTCGACTCCGCATCGGGTCAACCATGTCTCTAATCCCGCTGGGGTGGAGAAATTGGTACCGAACTTGTCCGGGGAAAGATCACTCTCGGCAATCCAAGTGAGGACGCTGCAGCCCAGCTATCTCAGGACTCCAGAGAGAATCGACTCGACCAGCATTCTAGAACATTCAAGATGAAGTGAAAATCCTCAAGCAGTAGCTGAAGCCACGCGTAAAAACTTGGAAGACCTTCGTGGATGATGGATGCGAGGGAACGAATCAAGTGCTAGAAGTGATGGCACCCCCGTAGTAGATATGAAAACGGATCGTAAAAATTCAAAAAAAAATTTTAGTCGAGTTTTTCACGTGTCTGTTCTACCTACAGTTTTCTCGGATATTGAGCCGAACATATCGGTATAAACCTTATTTTATGAATTTTCGCCCTGTTTAATGAATTGCCATATAAATTGTTCCCTTTCGACAAAATTCACAGACTTGAGAGTGAAATGTCAAAACGGCAAATTCAGCTATTTTTAGTTGTTTTCATTCCCACTAGTGAAGTTTATTCCGAGTTGAGATATGTTATTTTAATGATAGGAGGTGAAGTCCGCCATTAGTTTCCGAACAGCCTAGTAGTATTCTACTAAATTTGGAACCATTGCCCATATTGTGGACGAAAAGCTACGAGACGTTGAATTTTTCTAACCCGTAATTGAAAAATTGATGTTCACATAGCATAAAATCACTGGTGTTGTTCAAGAGCTCGCATACGAACAGTGATGGTGACGGGCGATAATCTTCTCACTGCAATGAGTGTAGCTCAAGAGTGTGGAATTATCCGACCCACTAAGACTGCTTACTTAATTGAGCATCGCGCCGATGTAGTAGACGACAAAGGACGACTGCTTTTAACGCTCAGGCAGGTACGCGCTTGATGTAGAATAAAATCATAGGGATCTAAAGTTTGTTCGGACAGCAAATTCGTATGATACAAAACGGAAAATCTGATATACGTATAATGAAACAATAAACAGCCTTTTGTTACTCGACAGCTTTCGGTTGCACAGCACAGTCACCGATTTGAGCTATGTGCGAGAATCGTTCAACTGTAAAATTGTGCCAGTCCTATTTATCCAAACCTGGTATTTTAACTCAAGGCTGCACCATGTTCCGAAAAGACAGTTGTTGAAGACTCGATTTCTGTTGAAGTTGGAAAGAAGCATATTCTCGAAAGTTCTTACCAGCTTTCAATTTCAGGTGAGTTACAGTTCTCAATAGAACTGTGGTAATAAGTTACTATGTTATAGGTCCGACATTTGCCATTGTAACACGTCACTATCCCGAATTACTGGATAGGCTTGTGAGCGTATGCGATGTTTTTGCAAGGATGTCTCCTGATCAAAAACAGCAGTTGATTAACGGTCTTCAAAAGGTTGTCCAATATCGTTCCCTTATAGTATCTTCTTCACATTTTGCCAACGTATTCTCTAAGTTTAGATTGATTATACTGTCGCGATGTGTGGTGATGGGGCGAACGATTGTGCTGCACTGAAAGCTGCACATGCTGGAATTTCATTATCGGATGCCGAAGCTTCAATTGCCGCACCGTTTACGTCAAGAGTAAGATTTTTACTCTAGTCGCTAGTGGTGCATAAACAAAAGGTTATCCGTAGTTAAAGTTCTTCTTTAACCGTAAACTTATAAGTGGAATGCTTCTGCTGAAGTTTTCCCCTACTTCTTTCCCCATTTGTGAATAGATTAATAAAAAAAACGATAAAGCTCTCGGCGTTGATCAATCCCTGAGGGATGCGCCATGCATTCGACTTCATTAAGTATCGTTGGATAGGATTGAATGCATATCTGGCCTTTACAATGACTCGCGGTGGCCTACCGATGTACCGAGCCAGAGTTGCTATCCTCCCAGACAAGTCTGGTACCAATTTGCCGAATTCGGAGGGATAGAAGGCTTGGTGAGCCGTGGGCGCGGGGATCAATTCCACGTCTGTGTCGCAGTGGCGCCTCCAACCACTGCGCCATACGCGTGATTGGGTTAGGCACTCTTTTTTGCCAAAATTCTGTGGCTGAACAACTTCTATAGAATTCTTGTCGTTGAAATCCTTGCGTTTTGCAAGCAAACATATCAAAAAGGTTGTTTATCCAAGAAGTTTATCAAGAAATGAATGACTAAACATGCAGGAAATTCAGAAATATATTCCCGTATGGTAATGAAATATTGTGAAGGAAGGGGTTAATATTCTAAACGGGGTTACATAAATTGAACAGAGGTTTCTTTTTTTTCCCAGAAACCCAACTAGAAGACCAGTAATAAATAAGCTTTGGTATCTTGTGAATTGTTTGCTGTATACCCTATTGCATTTGATCATCACATAATTGAAAAGAGGTGATCAGGTCGTTTCAACGACCCCCTTTAGTCCTGAGTAAAAATGACAGGACTGTTGTGGGTAGTGCATACTGCTGTTCAACTACATCACTAGAATATTCTCTCAAAATACGGTTTGCTACATCAATTAACAGAGGGTCTTGTCCCTTCTCCTGTTCCTCTCCCGTCTCTAAGGTGTAAATCAAAAGAAAGTCAATTTCAATATCTGCTAAACGTACAACTTATAGAGCACACGAAGTTGAATTAGCAGTATTGTATAAAGTTGAAGAAAAATGACCATAAGATTAATAATGAATGGTGTGATCACTGCTGTTTCACAACGAAGATTCACTTGGACCTCAGCCGGGAATAAAACTAATAACCGCGCCCATGAGTGAGAGGAGAGGGCCTTTCATGATAAGACTACTGAGATGAGACCCTTTTTTTATATTTTTCATAAAGATGTACACACAAGAATGAGCACTTTTCGTTATCTCCGTGAAAAAAATGATACTGCTTCCCTATCACCATTAAGGAATTGTTCCAAAAGTGAAAAGCCCTGCTGCTACGTTTCATACGAAATATATCGCATATAACTCTCAGAAAATTCTTTCAAGGTACAGAATGGTGCGGATCTAAAGTTCTGTAATTTATCCAGGAATGATTTGATCTGGAAAATATCTGATGATGGAATTTTAGTTAACCTATTTTCGGACGTATCAGCTTTGTTAGTCCAAAACGCGATTAACGCAATCTTTTGTCATCTTATGAAATTGATGAAGAGGTTTTGAGGCATTTTTTCCCACATGTTTTCTTAGAAGTGAACATACCCAATTCTGAAATTTCATTATGGATTTACCTATCTGAAGATCGAGAGCATGTAGAACGTAATTATTCAAGACCAGGATATATCACAAGAAATTTCATTTGAGCCCGTTTATACCTACAGATACTCCTTGCGTTCCAGATTACAATATAAAGTATTCCAATTGTTGAAGGATTTAGTGGGCGTCGTTGAGCCATAGGAGGGTGGCAAAAAGGTTCTGGGTAAAGATCGTTCGACCTGCTTATTAAGTTTGTTTTGAGAGCTTCCCAGGAAGAATATTGCGCGTCCTAAAAGAATCATATGATCTTCAAATATCTAAAATGCGAAGAAAATCTTGTTAGGTATTAAATATGACGGCACACATCCCAATTGAAATTGGAGAAAAGCTTTAAGCGACACCGAAAAGCACTTGGTATCGTTGGAATGAACATCATGCTGAAAGGTTTCTCAACGAAAATTAAACTTCATTTCACTGGGGCAGTCCAGCTGACGCCTATGAAAGCTGCATCGGGAGAATAGAGCGCCAAGCATGATATGGATCCTATCCACTCACCATGTACTTTTCAGACCATTGCTTTTTGTTCTTCTCTTTTGTCATTTGTTCTTTTCATTTTTAGTTTTGATTGGAGAGCTTCATTTGCACAGAAAGCACGGTTTTTCTGGCTGTGTGATTTTGAAGTATGATTTACTGTATGAAATTACAGATTGCCGATATTCGTTGCGTACCAACAGTCATCCGAGAAGGTCGTGCAGCTCTTGTGACATCATTCGGAGTATTCAAATATATGGCTGGTTACTCACTAACACAATTTACTACTGTTTTGCTTCTTTATTGGATTTCAAACACTTTGACAGATTTTCAGGTATTGCATCCTTGCTTAGATACATAAATGACCGCTTTTCACTTATGGTGCCGATCCCAACAATTTCTCCATTAATCACATCGTCCACAATCTGTAAACAACGGAGGTGGTCGAGTTCGTGTGTGGCATCGGTTGCAACTTGAGACTCTGTTGCCCTTTCCCATCAACATGTTGACTGTTGACTGGTTATCTCTAGAAACCCGAGATCACGACGTTAAGGCGTTCTACTGTCGTCACCATAAACACTTGATGGAATTTTTGGATCGATTTCCTTCATAGAATAAGGTTATTAATCGTTATGAAGAAGATATATGATATTCATTACCGATTCACTCATAGGGAATACCGCCGATTTTGCCTTGCTGTTAAGATGAGTGTTATTTTTTTTCTACAAACTGCGATGGAAGTTTTAAGGAAGGCAAAAGGAGAAGACGGGAAATATTGAAGGAAACATGACAGTTTAACGGCTCAATTACACTTGCCATGTTTGGCGTGCGAGTTTTTCGAGCTGTTTGTATAGGTCAGGTGCTCGTACCTGATGTCAGGTGCTCGTACCTGATGTTTCACATTCGTATTTTTATGTGTAGTAGTCAGAAAGAGGGACATTTCATAGAAGTAGCCACCAGTGAGAAACAAGGAGGTATGGAGCACACTGTAGTTGTTATTCATCACCTTCGCAATGAATTGCTATTGTGTAAAGAAACACATGAACAGGAAAACTGCTCAACAATGTTAGAGCAATATAATTGAGACACACGACGTCAGCACTTTTGAAGAAGCTAAAATACAATTACTTACTTGCAGTTTCTCTACATTGACATGTTCTTGATCACATTTGTTGCTTTGTTCTTTGGTAATACACCGGCAAGTGACAGACTAAGTTCTACACCACCTCCCATACGACTACTTTCTCTAGCCAGCGTTGCATCTGTGTGTGGTCAGCTTTTAATCATTGCAATCAGTCAGGTGTGTATAGCTGCTTTATTAAAGTTTTCTGAAGTTTAGATGGAAGCTCGACAAAGTGCTGATGTTTGCACTCTTTGGTTCATGAGGTTTCGTGAAAAATATTTTATTATGACTAAGTATTTCGAAGTATTTCCCGTGGTGGTCATAATACAAGATTTGCTCTGTACTGGAATATAACTTGCGAGAGATCCCTAACTGATGAAGCTCACTTTAATCAAGAGCATTTTAAATCTTTGTTACGCAGAAACACTCGAATATTCTACTGTTCACGTATTTTCTCGACATTCGATTTCGATTTCACTGTCTACTAATATTTCAATTTAAACCTCAGAGATAGCGACTTTGAAGAAACTCCGCTCTTTCTTGTTTACTGATTCAATTAACTTCAACTGCCATAAAAATAAAATGAACCCAGTGTTTTATAAAGAGCTAGAGTAATGTCATCTGCTACTAAATGCTTGTGTTAACAGTCACCTTTTGATGCGATTGTGAATAAATGAGAATTTTAAATACCTTATCATTATTTATTTCGTAGGAGCGCGTGTAGCGCAGTCGTTGGAGACGTCCTGAAATACACATGGGATCGATCCCACCGCCCCAGTCCCACCAAGCCCTCCATCCTTTCGGGCTAGGAAAATTGCTACCAGATTTTTCAGCGAGGATAACAGCATTGGCTCGATACATCGGTAGGCCACCACGAGTCATTTTAAAGGACAGATATGCATTCAATCACCTCTAACGATTCTTTGAACGCGAATGCATGACGCATAATTCAGGGGTAGACCAACACCGCGAGCTTTATCTTTTTTATCCTTTTTCTATTTCGTTTTATGACATAAAACCTGTTATGATAAGTTTATCATGATGTCTAATGGTTTAAGAAAAGCTTATCTTTTGCTTCGGTTCTAATCCTATACTTTCACATCTGAACGTTGGATGACTGAATGCCGATGATGGGAGCGGATAATTTTATCATTGCATCCTTCTCATTAATTTGTCCATTTCCAGCAGTTAAGACGTTATTAAGGATGTGTTTGTGTTATTTTCAGAGCTGTTAATGAAAAATGTTTTTGGTTTATGATGAGATGCTGAAAGTGGGCGTTAGAGAAAGAAGTAGTCTACAGCAGAAAATTAGAAGATAAATCCAGCACCAAATTTATTCCCTCATTTCAATTCTCCTCAGGACAGTAGACAAGGAAGAACGGCACTAGAAGTATTTTTATTGAACCATCACATTGAATTTGAGTGCATACATAGCAGACAACAATCGAATTATTTCCATTTTGTCAGATGTGTTTCTTTTAGCTTTACGTATTCATTCTAATAGCAAGGGAGCCGTGGTTTTTTCCATATGCACCGCCAGATGGTCTTGATAGATTAAGTAGGAGATCTATGCAGGTTCTTTTTCATGTATTCCAATAGTAGTTTTCAAAAGGAACGCACTAATTTTCTACTTTTCTCTTTGAGCGGAGCTCTCCATAATTTAGGGCACTGGGCTGTTTTGTATGTCAACTTTTCAATACATAACATTGGCTCTCATCAACAGCACAGGAGAACCGTATCGTAAACAGATCCTGTACAACCGTCCACTCTGTATCACTTTAGTCATCCTTTTTGTGGTGAGTACCAAGTAATGTGAAAGGTCAAATGCATGCATTATTCAACCCACGTATGGAATTTCCTGAAGCATGAAAACTTGCATACTCTGTTATACCTTTTTATTTTCTGAATATTATAATTTCGCGGCAGGGTACTAAGCGAAATACAATCACTACATTGCTGAGATATTTGCAAAACTCTGGGCCGCAGGTGTCTATGGTGGGGAACGAACGCGCTATGGTGTGGTGGTGAACGCGTTATTCCCCGGAAAGGACAATAGCGCGTTCGTTCTCCACCATAGACACCTGCGGTCCAGAGTTTTACAAATATCTCAGCAACGTTGTGGTTGTATTTCGCTTTGTACCCTGCCGCGAAATTATAATGGGCAGAAAATAAAAAGGTACAACATTGTGATTTCAACTACAGCCGCAACTTAACTGGGTTCTATGCCGATTTGGGCTCACCAGATCAATCCCGTTGATGGGTGATTGCTGATGGCAAAAGATCAATAGAACTAGCCTGAGAGACAGGCGAAACGAAGGACCCGCATGGTGTGGTGGTGAACGCGCTACTCCCCGGAAAGGACAATAGCGCGTTCGTTCCCCACCATAGACACCTGCGGTCCAGAGTTTTGCAAATATCTCAGCAACGTTCTGCTTGCATACTCTCTTCAACCATGAATATGAGAAAGTAATTGGTATAAGCATGGGTTGATGCATGGATGAAGTCAGGAGTCATTTGTATATCTTGTTAGTTTCTTCCGTTTTCTTTTCCACCGGACCATTCTGTCGATTTCATGTCTCGCTGATCATCACGCTGTGGCCACCCGGATTCGTCATTAAATTTCTCGAGTATGATCCAATTCCGTTTTTTGAAAATCGTCTTTACTTGGTGATCGTAGCTTTCATTTGTACGGTGCTGTCATATCTTTTCCATCGTGGAGTCGTTGAATTCTTGATTCTTCAGCTAAGAGAAAAGTGAGTGGAACATTCATGTCATTATTCTTACCAAGAAATGTCATATAAATTTCCACAGTTGTCAATAACAAGTTTGAAAACTCTTGATTAAGGAAAGAAAAAATGAAATAGAGCAGAACTAGTGGTTATACATAGGTATGCCATGAGTTCTAAACTGTTCTAACTATGACATTCCTGTGATTAATGCTCTGCTACCTCTTTTCCTGCAAACTACTTATTTCTGAATCTTATGTACTCTTAAAAATCCCCACAAAAACTTTTCGAATGTTTAGAACACAAAAAAGCGACTTTACCAAGTGAGAGGAAAGAGGGAATTTTAAAGAAAAAAGTACCATCTATCTTCTTGTTTATCCGCATTAATTAGTATCGTGTACATCTCATAGAACTTTTTACCCATTCCTACTTTTTTTTAAAAAACTCTTAGGATTTCAACTAGGAGGATATCTAGCCTGAAATAGATAGCGCAGAGTTTTTGGTAAAAAAAATTGCTCACAGAAATTGAGATTGTATGGCTTCAAACAGATTAACTTCTTTTCAGATGGCTTAGACATAGGCGAATCAATGATCCGCAAGCAAATCACGAACAATTCGAACGAATTCTGTCCGATATTGGTCATGAACCAACGTGGCTTCATCAATACACGCACCAACAAGTCCAGGAAAAGAACAATAAACCTCGCACAACTCAGGATCAAACCACACCTTTCTAATCTCCTACTGCATAACGCACAGTATTCCTAGTTATTTCTTACTTCGTTACTTTCACTTCCATAGAATTTTATTCATCGTCATCATTTATGCAACTTTGGATTAATAGTTAATAATTGAATTCATGAGAGCGGGTGATAGTTAATTTGCCTGAGGCAAAGGTCCATTAATAACGAAAGTCAGAGAAGTCAGTCGAAATTTTAGATGTCATTATCGGTTATTCATTGTCTGAGTATCGTATTTACTTTAACCAACATCAGCTGTCACTCACCTGTTGCATTCTTTTCCTCCCAATCATTTTCTTACTTCCACTTTTTCTTTTTAGCTTTCAATTTCTTCGAGTCAATTTACCCATTACTTGATAGTGTTCGTTATTAAAACGATTGTGTCCGCCTTAGTAAGGTTCTAATGGGTTTTACAGGTTTGCAGGATTTACATTCAGAATTTCAGTCATAGGAGACCTTGTAGCGACGATGCTTAATGAAGTCGAATGCATGGCGCATCCTTCAGGGATTGATCAACGCTGTGCGCCTAATTTTTATTCCTTTCGGGAATAAAATTTTAAAATTATTGGAAATGAAGTTTAAAAGTTATGAACTTTCCAACGCAGAAGTGGTAATTAGTGGTAATAAGTGGAAGTGGTAATAATTATTGGCATCACCACCTCTACGGTACCCACCTCCTGTTTTGAATACATTTTTGCATTATGAAACAATAATGACCATCTGCATAGTTAAATCATCCGAGCTAGCAAGTTCGATTTTTTGATTCTTCGACAATTTTTTTGTTTGTCGTCCACTCACTGCTCTCACTCAAGTTCCGCTTTCTCGTTCATCAGTTGTTGTTGGAAAAGCCGTAAACCAATGGATCAAATCCAACTGGTATTTTATGGGTTTTTCCCTTAATTTTTGGGACAAATGTATGGAAATGGATGAAGTGATGATTCAAAAACTCAAAACCCACTGTTTATTAACTTGGGCAATGTTCCGCAATTCACTGTTGGTTTTCTTCAGGCCACAAGATTGCTATTAGAATATTCATACACAAAAGCTGACGTTTCAGCGGTTTCGCCTTTTTCAGAGTCTGGAAAGCTCAGGTTGACACCCATCCTGATCCGTCAAACGCTTTCATAACATCAGCAACATAAACTTTCATTCGCGCAATAAGTAGCTTCGCTTAATCTTTAAGGGAAAGCTTGACCTGTATAGGAGTTATGGTATGTAAAAATGATCGCCACCTTCAGTTTTAAATTGGCACTTCCCAGCTCGTAGTGAATTTTATTAGCTTCAACAAAAAGTTAGAATCTCGAAGTTTTTAGTTATAGTGGAGAGTTTTCGTGTTTTGCGACGAAAAAATACTAATGTTTTCGAGCCCACGACCTAGATTTCTTCCATTTTTCGCTCCAGGGGTTATATTTCGAAAATAAATGGAAGTGAAAAAGCGTGATATCGACTATCAAGAAGAAAAGTATTAAGGCGTAGTGGTATTTCCCAATGGATTATTTATGTTTGTATCTACCACTTCTGTGCTGCAAAGTTCATAACTTTTCAACTTCATTTCCAATTATTTTAAAATTTTATTTCTGAAAGGGATAGAAATTAAGCGCACGGCGTTGATCAATCCCCGAAGGATGCGCCATGCATTCGACTTCATTAAGCATCGTCGAAGGTGATTGAATTCAAATCTGTCCTTTACAATGACCTGCGATGGCTACCGATGTATCGACTCAGTGTTGCTATCCACCCAGGCGAGTCTGGTACCAATTTCTCAACCCTGAAGGGACGAAAGGCGTGGTGAGCCACGTAGCTCGGGGATCGATCCCGCTTATATTCCAGGGCGCCCCCGACCAATTCGCTACACGAGCCTATTCCTATTCCTAAGTGGATTTAAATTCCAAAAGCCACCATAAAAAAAATTATATGTGCCATATACGAATCGTCATCCCACATAAACAATACACAGGTGATTCTGCACCTAGCAAAAAGGGCTATGAAAACGGCGAAGTCGCAGGAACGTTAATCATCTAATCACAACAACAACAACAGCAACAACAATAACCGCTGATACCAACCGAATGCCAGCTCAACAAGGACAGTTCGTCACAATATATATAACACGTAGATTCTATATACCGAAGTTAGGGAAAGTCGGTCTTTTGCATTCATATACATATATATATATAT